ATAGTATATAAATTAAAATTATCTTTTAATTCTTAAAGACCAACTAGGACTTATTAGGACTTTTACCAACCCTAACTGTAATAGATCTATATAAATTATACTATAAATTAGCTAAGAATTATTTTATTACTGATAAACAAGTTGACGAAGAGACAGAAGACTTCCTATCGTCACTTTAGAAATTTAATTCGTAAGTACCTACTGGAAAGGCAATTTTGTATCATAAGGAATAATCATCAATTCTTCAGCCACAAAGGATCTTTTAGAACGTTTTAACACATAATCATCATCATTAATTAACTCAAATGAGACTTCTTCCAGCCAGTATAAGACCAGCTGATTTTTTTGTACCATAAATTGATAAATATGATAAATATGTGAGAACCAATTTAAATTACCAGCATGACGTCTCCCACCCTCTAACTCACAAGTATCTATTAAATATCTTATAAGAATATTACTGGAAAGCTTTTCTTCATTAAATCCTATAGGTCCATTACAAGGATAAGAAGGCTTAGTAAAGACCTCTTCATTTTTTATTGCCACAGTTAGAGAAATACCAAGCCGGCATGTACATCAGGAATTTTTTTTGGGGGATATATAACGATATATATCTCTTCATCATTGTTTATCATGATTTAAATATCAATTATCAATATATTAAGATAAATATTGATATATATCTGCGATATTATAATGATATTTATCTTAAAAAAAATAATCATGAGGTTAATTTGCAATACTATTAATTATCGATGATTATCACATCAATAATTTACGATATGGTTAATTATCAAATATTATCACATGATTAGTTAACGATATGCTAATTATCGAATAATAACATAATAATAATTTGCAATGTGATTATTTATTATATACTGTATGTTTTAAAAAATATACCTATTAACGAAATATTCATTTTCACAATTTCTTCTTGGTATAATGTGAACTGCCATATCTATTGAATCTAAATAGACGCATGTATATTAATCGGTTAGCCAAAGTCTTAGACATTCATACATTTTTTCATTGACATCATCATATCATCGTAATAAAATGAGATTTATTGGATCTTTATCTTTTTTCAGTGAAAAATTCCAATAATAAAAGTGCCTAAAAAATTGTTAATAATATTAGAAGTTAATAAAATTCATAAAATATATATCGATATACAATACCTTTCTATACCAATCATTTTCTTCAGAAGAAACAACTACGTTGCTAAACCACTCATAATTATGAAAATTTCCTGCTGTTCAAATAATATCGGTCGATTCAACGGCTACACTTGAATATATCTTGAAATATCCAAACTCATCATCATAAGTTATATTATTTTTGACTAAAAATTCATCGAAACCTGCACAAAGATTATCGAAACCTTCTTTATATAGATGATGAATATCATCATCTTGCTTTATTTGAGAAACTTTTGATTCAATCTCACTAACGT